TGAGATTGCTAAGTCGAGTACTTCATAGGTTACCATTGGATCGTCCAGATGCACGAGACAAAGTTGAAAAGTTACAACAACAATTAAGATGGAATTCTTTTCCTGGTGTCCATGCTCTTCTGTTAAAAGGATGCACAAGTCCAAATACGTACGAGCCAGTTGTAACATTGCTTTCACAGTTTACACCATTATTGGATTTACCAGTTGTCGATCCCACTCAAAGTTTAGCTTTTCCAATGAACGTGGTTTCTTTACTTCCATACATGTTGCTACATTATGAAGATGCAAATGAATTGTGCATTAGAAGTGCAGAAAATATAGCACAAGTAAATAATTTAATCATTATTTTTATATATTTGTTTATTGCCATACAAATTGATATTGTTTATAGGTTAGTGCAGAGAAAGGGAAGAAACTTGAAAATTTGGGTACCGTCATGACTTTATACAGTCGTCGTACATTCAGTAAAGAAAGCTTTCAATGGACTAAATGTGTCGTTAAATATCTTTATGATACTTATGCTCATTTGAGTTTTGACATGTTAGCATTTTTGGTCGAAGTATTAGAAAAGGGTCCTGGAAGTGTTGCTTTACCTGTACTCAGTATCATACACTGTATATTACATTATGTTGATCTTGCATCGCAAGCTGCTCAACCTATCAATACTGAACTTTTACAAGTTATTTCAAAATACGTAGAAGTAAGTTATTTATTAATTAAATAAAAACCATAAATTTAAACAACTTAACTTTATTTGATTGTATTTATTTTAAACAGGGACCTCATTGGAAGGAAGCATTAAAAATTTTAAAACTTGTAGTAACAAGATCTTCAACTTTAGTTGCCCCACCAACATCAATGCATGTCTCATCGTGGGAATCTTCTTTGGCATCTCCACATCCAAGTTTCACGGATACGGAAATATTTACTAAAAAAGAATTACCTGGTATGTCATTAATTAATTATTATATACATTTTTGCATGCAGTAAATATATAATAAATATAAATTTAATTTTTGTTTTCTTTTGCAACGCGGCATTTGCTATCACTGATCGGATTACTTATTTATCAACGTTCAGGTTGCGATAAAAATAATAATCATAACGTGTAGCTTGCAATCAAATAAAATTAACATAATTTTTCTACAATTTGTTCTTTTTTTTTTTTTTACTTTCTTTTCATTTTTATTTTGTACAGTTAACCTCGAACGTTTACAATTTTATTTTTATATCTAACGCAATTTATACATGTTGTCAATGCGTGTGTATAAATAATTGTTCGTACAATTTTATTATATAGGCCGTACGATGGATTTCACGTTTGATCTTTCACAAACACCTGTGATTGGAAGAAGATGGTTAATCAGACAGGGTAACGAAGAAAAATCTTTGAGTTCACCACAATGTTCGATGTCTCTTTCACCAGCAGAAAGTACTGCGGTTTCTGGATGGAAAAGACCTTGGATGTCACAGGTATTTCTTATAAATATATTTTTTATAATTATCAGATACGTATAAAATGAAATTGTATATTATTTACAGGGTCGTGTTAGAGAATGTTTAGTGAACTTGTTAACAACGTGCGGACAAAGAGTAGGATTACCTAAAAGTCCATCGGTTAGTATTAATCATATTATTTATCATTTGAAAATTTGTGATTTTCCCCTTTTTTCCTATACCAGCTCGATTGTTATTAAATAACCATTCATTCCTCTCGTCAAAATTGATTTCCATTATATATCCTTTTTTAGGATGAACACATTAGTTCAATGACATTGTATAGCAAGGTAAAAAAGGTTTTATTTCATAAATAATACAATTTTGCACCTTAACAACGATAAATATTATTCTAACGTCACGAACAAAAGTAAAACAAAAATAAAATATTACAATAAGTGATTGAAACGTTACACACGCTTTAATGTAAATGTAGTAGAACACACGTACACTTGCATACAACTAAATTGGAATCGGTGTATAGGACACGAACATCGATTTGACCCTTTCACTTCGTGCGTCGGATATATCCGGCATCTGCGCGGTATCTTGTGCGTACGAGCGCCGGATATATCCGGCATCTGCACGAATACTCGTTCGTTTCGGTAGACTGGACTGTCGAAGTGAAAGGGTTAATTTAATATTTGACACTTGAAACAAAGTTGCACTTTAACAACGGAATAGTTTTGTTATATTAAAATATAAATATCAAAAGAAAATATTAATTAGATAGAATTTATTTTGATTATAATCGATTGAAATGCAATATTTGAATGTAGGTGATATTCAGTCAAAGTTCTGATTTAATGGAGAGACAATCATCGATGGCATCATCTACCGAGGAAGTTTCTGGTGCTAACAATGATTTAAGTGGTGGTTCTCGACGTGACGATGAACAATTTGGAGTCTTCAAAGATTTTGACTTCCTCGAATACGAGAGCGAAAGTGTTGAGGTAACTGATATTTGAGATGGGTTTATCAATTAAAACCTGACGAATACGTTTTATTATTTTGATTATAAATATTTGATATGTGTACAGGGTGAAAGTACGGATAACTTTAACTGGGGTGTTAGACGACGTCCTCTCAGCGAAGGAGAGGAAAGGGAACCTAGTCTACGACAGTTCGAGGAAAGTTTGAGTGAAAAAACCCAAACGTCTAGCAAACATACTACCAGAGTAAATATTTCTACTATTTATTTGTTTTATTATCACTCCTAATAAAAACATAATAATACTATTCCGATTATAGCGAGGAGTCACGGAAGAATCATCTGACGATGAAGCCGGCTCTGAATCACCATTGGATGAAGTACCAAGTGGATCAGGAGCTGGACAAGAAGCTAACAGTATTCCAGGAATGTTTCCACCTTCTTCTCTTTCAATACCAAGCCGTACACGTCACGATTCATCCACAAGGTCTGATACTTCGTAAGTTTCTAAATAAAAATCTTGACGAATTTTATTTACAAATATGTTCATTCGTTTACAGTGGTTCCAGTGCAGGAGATCTCGGTGACGTTACACCTTGCAACGCGTCACCAAATTTATCTGCATTGATGCCGTTCAGACAGGTCGTCAGAGATGACGCTGAAGAAATTTGGCGTCAACAAATTCAAGCTCTTGTCACTCAAGCACCTTACACCACATTAGATTTCTTTCAATTATTAAGTAGAATTATAAGGGTAATTATATAAATTAAATCTTGAATTTTGTTTAAACACACCATGTACATAATACATATTTGATTTGTTTATTACCAGGATGTAAGCAGCAAATCAGTTGGCCTGACACGGGAAGCATGCGCTTTATTATCAAACGGCAGTCCTGCTTCTAAACAATTAGGATATCATTTATCTAGTCACGCGGAACTACTTAGTGCTAAAGCCGAACCACCGTTAGTTTGGTTTTCCGTTTCCATTTTTTCTCATCAAAGATTGCACGAATCTTTGCGTTTTGAAATGTTGGAAATACAGCAACATCTTGAAACGTTTCCTGACAGAAAATATCACGCTACAGAGGTAAATAATTCATTTATTTCTAATATCGATTAAATTTACAACAATAACTTTATAAATGTTTTTTTTTTTTTTTTACAGTGTTTGGAAACAGTAAAAGCAACGACGAAACTGCAAGCACTGGGTGGTAGCACTACGATGGAACTTGGTTTCGAGGAAATGTTTTTAGATCTTGGCCGATCATTTTACAAATTGCATCTACAATTATTATTATTGATAAAGGCCTCGAACAAAATGTTGGGAATATTAATAAATGCCGCGAGAAACGTACAGATACCTTTGCAAGATATATCTACAGAAATATCTAACATGAAGGCAGCATTGAGCAGAGCTTTGGAAGAAAGTACTGAAAGTGAACGTGGTACACCGACTCCAACACCCAGTCCTAGTCCTTTACCAGCTGTTGGAGCCGTTGAAGATATCGCAAGGGTTGCTGAACTTCTTAGAAATGCAAGATGGTGTCCAGCTTTGGAAGCTGTTAGATTGCACAGAGCTCAATGGCCTGGTGATCCTTTTCACGATGACGATGATGTAACAACAGCTGTTAACATGTATTGCAAACACTTGGGACAAGATAGATCTGGTATATGTTCATTTTTTAGAAACATAACCTATTTCCATCTTTTTTCAAAATATCTAACTGGTTTTTTTTATCTTTTCAGATATTTTCGTAGTCACCCGAACAGACGATGAAATGATTGAAATCTTTAATAAACTCATGAGTAGTTTATTTCAAGTTCTTACATCTGTGACCGGTCTCGAGGGGTCAGCAAAGTCAGCTCGTGTACAACAGGATCATTCTAATCATTCAAAAACCGACTGTTAATTTATAAGCATCTTAGTATTATTGACAACTTGCCTAAACGTATATAAGAGCTCTTACAAATTTTAATAATCTTTATGAATGTATCGCATAACCTAAAATTCGTAGAAAAAGAAAGAAAGAGAAGAAGAGAGAAAATATATCAAGAAGAAACAGAAGAAAGAAAAACAAAAGAAGATTATAACGAGAGAGAGCAAAGGTACTAGATTTCTTTTTTTTTTGTATCTTATTTCGTGTATAGTTTTTTTCCTCCATTTTTTTTTTACAATACTTCTTGCTTTTTAATATCGTGTAAAGTTAAAAGATTATTTATGAAAAAAAAAGAACCAAAAATAAACGTACTAATTGCTCGGAAAATATATATATCGATATCTATGATTTACAAAAACAAAATGGCGACGTATAATTTTCGATCATTGATTAACGATTACGATCTTGAATCATATTTTGTGGTTAAGAATTTTGCTTGCCGATTTATTGAGAAAGTGATTAAAAGAGTCATGAGAATAATAAGTGACATGGTTTGTTTAAAACATTTTTCTTCTTTTTTTTTTATAAATTAATTATTTCAACAATTCGATACCTTTTTAGGACGATATTTCTGATACTACGGTAAGAAGAAATTCAACTGTTACTAAATCATTGAGTTATTATGGCGTTGAATGGCCAACTTGTGGTAATATTAATAGACAAAATATTTTAATCAGTATTCAAAATGAAATGAAAGCTTGGAATAATTTACCGGTAAATTTGATTGATAAGATGAAAGAAAAAAATAAAAATAAAAAACATATCGGACAAATATGCAATTACGCGTTTTAGGAATTAAAGGATTGGATGTTCAGTATAGAATTTGTCAGTCTTTCTGTTTTGAACAATACAAATTATTACAGATATGAAGTCATTTGGAGTGTACCTACAAAATCGTATCCCGAACCACAAGTTACAGTTTTCTTAAAATTTCGTATTGCTGTAAAACTTGATTATCCATCACATTATCCCGTCAATGTAATTTGTAAAATCATTTCGTTCAATTAATTAGAAAATAATTATAAGTAAAATCATTTGAACGCAGGTAACTTACATCATCGAAGCACGTAATATGATTAATCGATTGGATACAAAGTTTCAACCTAAATGGCTTTATGATGTATTAGATATGAAAACTATGATGTTCAAGTCATTTGAATTTTAAACAACACAAGACATTTTTTTATTCTTTTTATATCAAACCTAATTATAAATATATATATAGAAAGAATGATGTTTAAAACTATACAGAGACATGTGCAATCAAACAAGGGACAAAAATTTGTACATTTGCATTTTCAAAGTGTATTAAAGCGTAGCATGCAAAGTGTCGTAAAAGTAAGAGTGTCAGATTTCTCTAGGAACCGGCGCGACGAGAGCACGCGCCCGGCTAAACTCGGTTGCAAGAACACCGGACGCCGGTTCACTTTGGTCGGTCAAACAATAGGAGCAGGTGATACCCCAAGAAGAGAAAGAGAGATGGTAGTATACCTTCTTTTACTACTACAACTACTACTTTACTCTCTTTCAATTACGTTTACCACGCTCTCTCGTATTAACCCATTAGTGCCGAGTCGTTTCCACGATTCATTTACGCGAACTCAACTTCAAAACATATATTTTTTAATAACCTCCACCCCCACACACTATATTCTTTTTTAATTTTTATTATTAAAACGTTTCTTCTTATCATTAGGGTGAATCAAAAGTACCTGTTTAGTTGTATTATTATTTTATTGATTAATATTGAGTTGGCAAGAAAGTAATTTCAGTTTTCTAGTATGAAATAAAACTCAATTGTTTCTAAACTAACAGTTGTAGACACAATTACACGGGATTTGTTTCTATAGCAACCTAAAAGTGTCAACTACCAAACCTCAAAAGACAACAATTCTAACATTAACGAAACAAACATAACTTTATCTATTGGTGCAACCCAACATTACTTTCTTGCCAATCCAATATTTGCAATGTAAATCTTACAATGATAAAATAATCAACGTTATGCAGAGTTTGGTTAAAAGTGAACTTTTTGGGTTCACTCTAATTGGTTTTTTGTTTTTTTATAAAAAGAAGAAGTTCTTTTTTGAGTATTAAATAGGATATTCTTTGGTGAACGTCTCCCACGAAGACGAAGATAGGCCCATTCGTTGACTAGAAAGAATACATCTATGTTGAAATTCATTACTTAGGTATTTTATTTTTTTATCTACACGTTGTAACATGTATACACATCGATGAGGGAGGTGCAATCCGTGCGTTGGTCTCTTTCTATTTTTTTTTTCTTCTCACTTCGGTTTTGGTAATAGAAATACAACGACGATGACAACGAAGAAACCCATGGAGGATACAATTCGAAAATCTTCAAGGGATTTTAACTGACTTTCGAATACACATGGTGGTCGAAAGCAACTGTGGGGAGGTCTTTCTAATCTCAGCAGGAGCCCCACAGAATCGCTAACCACGTGTCAAGTACGTTCAAATCAAAGTATATCATTTTATTATGGTATTTTTTTTTAATAGTCACAACTTCATTGTATCAAAAAGTTAAAAACACGTGTTGAATTACACACACCTATTAATATTACATTCTTAGATGTATATTCTGTTTCATTTTAGGGACTATCATCTTTCACCTTACATTTACGTTTGTATTTTCAAAGTTTTGACAAGAAATTCCGTATTTTCTATGCTTTTCTTAGAAAGACGGGGGAGGGGGCTAAGGTTTAGGTAGCAGCAGGTTGTAGTTTCAGGTCAAAGAAAAGAGAAGATCCGTTTGATGTGTAATTTGAGAAGAATGAGAAGAAGAAGAAAAATAGGTCCACTGTGAAATTCAACTCATTCAAATAAGCACGCATGTTTTTCCTTGGTTTCATTGAAAAACAAAAACAACAAACCCTATTTTAATGTTTTACACGATTCTCTTTCTTCTTTTGGTATTCCATATTTCACATAAATCTCATGCAAATAAAGATGAAGGAAATGAAAGGAAAACAGGAACATCCTGTGTGTGTGTGTGTGTCCCTTTTGTAAATAATCAATCATGGAATGTGGGTCAAAGAGGAATTTCAATCAGTAAGCAGTAGCAACCACCACCATTACAACACACTACCCAACAACCATATCATAACCACACAACCATTACGATAACAACCACCATCGTTTGTCTATATTTATACGGGAGGGAATTTTTTTGTACCGGCCATGTCCTAAACATCACATCCGCTTAGGTGCTTCCTTCCTTCTTCTTCTTTTTTTTCTTATTCTCTGTAATTCTGTGTGCTTGGTTCGAACGAAGAAAAGCTAAAAGTTAAATACCGGTAAAAGAACCACTAACCCAACGTTTCATTCTCATTCTCTTTCTTCTTCTTCTTCTTCTCAATTTCAGCAGCTTCAAACATCCGTTGCACCAGCCGTTGTCAGATCTCTTACCCTCTCTTCATCATTTTATCTTCTCAACCCTTTTATTATACTTCTAACCTATCTACAACTTCTTAATTTAGTTATAGTTATAACAAATCCTATAACATTTGTTATTTGTGATGTAAAATTGTTTAAATTAATTTTATTACAATATTAATTTGTAAAATACAATGTTTCCCGCCAAACTACTCGAATTAGTTTAACTACTGTCCATTATTATAGTTCATCTATAAAAGAAATGACACATTAGGAACACGTGGGGTAGCAAAAAAAAAAAAGGCAAAGGTGTAAAAAAGGAAGAGATGGATATGTGTCCGATTCCGTCATTCGTGAACAACACGGTGCGACACGTTTTCAACTTACTTTGAGACACCAGGACCCACGTGCAAGATTCTATGAACCAACTCGAATCACACCAGCTGCCGATTCTCATCGTTGCTGACTCCTGGAGCAGCCCTGGAGTCTCGATCTAAAATTAGCGAAACCAAGCACCCCCGCCTAGCCCTTACATGGTCACGTATAACATCGTAATAGTATTAGTAATAGTAGGTATACAGCAACAACTCGGTTACTTTCAAAGAAGAAACCAACAACCAAGAAGAAGAAAAAAAAGATGAAACAATAATAATCGTTGCTTTAGCACGAGGCACGCGAGTAAATCGTGTGCGATATATTCCACAGCTGTTGTTTCAAGGGAGGCCCTTTTCCCCCACCCACACTCATCTCGTGTGTGTTTGCTTCGATAAAGATCTACGACGATGACGAGAACGACAAAAAAAGTTGAACGACTGAAAGAGTTCATTTGCATTTTTTTAATCGTTTGAAGATATAAACATTTCAATAAAATATCTGATAGTTTATTAGAATATTGATTCTACAAACGAATGAGATTTGTCATCAGTGAGATGAATCGAAAGTTCCTCTCTGTGTGCGAGTTCTTTTTAGTATTAATAAAAACAATCCATTGTGCATAGTTTCACATAGTTTCAAAGTTTTAAATCATAACCTCAATAAACGCACGAACTTTTGATTCACTCATGAAAGTCTCTTGTTTTTTTTTTCTTTTTTTTTGATGTTGATAAAAGTTAAAGGGAAGAAACATCCGCAGTTTTAACCACATGGCTTCTCAATGAAATAACGCGACCAAGCATTGAAAAAGATCACGTTGATCATCAGAATACTGTGTCCCTTTTTTACAGGATGTTTTTTTTTATTATCTTGCAAAAAATGTTAATTAGAAATTCGTTAGAAAATAATTCGTAAATGAACTTGTCATAACTAGTTTGACCAAACATTGAACATGTTAGAAATAGTAAAAATTTAGGTATATATATATCATCCTGTTAAAATCCTTCCTGTAGTTCGTTGCCCTTAATATTTAGTGAGTGGGTGGGGGGCTATATAGGGCCACGAAAGAAGAAATCCTTTCGATCTTCCTACTCCTCCTCGTTGGTACAGGAGAGAAACCTCTACACGTTTCTGAGTACATCTGCGCCGAGCGGATGCAGCCTGCATTTTATGGGCCGCACCAATGCAACCGATTCTCGTTTCTGCACCCGCACTCACACCCCTGCTTGCTACCACCTTCAGCAGCACGCTCCACAACGACTTCTATAATTAGATTTCCTTTTCTTCCCTTCACAGAGTTAGGACACCTTCGAACTTCACGTACAAGTACCAAGTACAAGTACAAATCTTTCATTGCGTTATGAATCCTACGAATCTTTCAATTTGATACCATTTGTTTCTTCGTTATGACAGTGAATTATAATTTGTATATCACGTGATATAAAGTAAACAGTTTGTTAGGTTAGGTTAATTGTCAGGTAATTACCCTGACACTTGATTAGATGATTATTTTCTAAAAGATTCTTTACTTTGAATTAGAAGTTAAGGTTATGTTGTTACTAAATAAACAAACTTACTTTACGCCGATTTTCATTTGTCAATTTTAAGTCACGTACAGCACCATCTTTTTTAAAATGGCGGATAGGTATCAATGATTATTACAGTAAAGTAACAATAAATAGATGATTAATCTTATAATTTATTATTGTCACATATGAAATAAATGTTAAATAATTTGTTAAAGTTAGATCAACCTGTCGTAATTACAGACACTTGATAAACCGTCTCATATTAATCAATTTGATAGGAAATTAGTTTCAACTAGACTTTAGTTATTTGTTAGAAAAATTACGTATCACTCTAGCGTGACATTAACGAGTCATTCACGGATGTCACACAGGTTTCTCTATTCGGCTATTTCGAACAGGTTGCGCTCGGTTCTATTTTTTGATCATTGGCAACGACCGGATCCATGGATTCGTGTGGTGTGTCGACGACAGGTAGGCGGATAGGTAAATTCAAATGGCAACGATTAAATCGTGATGACCGATTCTATAAATGTATCCCGTCGTGCCAAACTATCGTGGGCATCTACGTAATTATAAATAATATCATTTAAATCCGTTGGTAATAGGCCAAAATATTTCTTGACTTGTCTCACTCTAAAGAGGAAAATTTATGATCGTTGTTAGTTGTTGAAAATCTTTTTACGGTCATAATTATATATACCCCATTATTTTTTATTACAACTAAAAATAACTATAGAACATCCAATACAATTTTATTCAAATATTTGAACAAAATGAATTTGTGATCCGAATTAAATGCGTTGTTCAAGTGATTGATAAACTTTGTAAAATAAATCAGACGATTTTCAGCTTTCAATTTAATCGTCAGAGAATCATTTGACATTTTTCGTTAGCACAATGTCAGAAAAAAACCCCCCCAAAATATTCATTTTCTATATTATGAAGGGACAAACACACAAGTGTTTTAATTCTGCTTGGCAACCTGACCCGATTCGTCCCTGATCCGCATGCAAATAAGATCTAAACTTAGAATACGTTCGATTTTCCTCCTTGTCGACGACATAGAACGTGTTTTTCGTCTTTGTTGACCTTAATCATCTTCAGTGCATTGACAAATTTTATACAATGTTTATTGTAGGCGGACAACACACATTTTGATCTAATTTAACAGCTGATTTAGTCGACACCTTTTAAAACATTCAAATGTTTCCAACCTTTTTTATAACAAATTAATTATAAATCAACAATTTAATATTATACATATATATTAAATATTTGAATGAAACATCTAACATACGTTTCATTCAAGTAGGACTTTTAAAAAAATGACGATAAGGTGCCTGAGATGAACACTCAACATGGTGAGCCTGGTGATTCTTCAATGGGTCACTAGAAAGGGAACGAGAACCTTCTGAATGAACGTGCACGCGTACTTACTCATGTTACCCTACGTAACACGAACCATCCTTTTTTTTTTTAACATTTAATATGATCTTCATGAATGAAAATCTTGAAACAATCGATAAGAAAATAAATCAGCAAATTTAACCTCAAATTAAATTTCATTTGAAAATCTTGAAACAATCGATAAGAAAATAAATCAGCAAATTTAACCTCAAATTAAATTTCATTTGAAAATCTTGAAACAATCGATAAGAAAATTAATCAGCAGACTTAACCTCAAATTGAATTTCATTTGGAAATCTTTAAGTAGGTTTTTTTTTCAATCATAATTCAAACATTTTAATGAATATTTTATGCTAAGGTATTTAATTTAAATTGAGGTTAGAAAAACACTATTACATCTAATATAAATGTGTTTTTATATATTATATGTGTGAGTTTAAATGTGTGTGTAAAGGCAACCGGTAGAAGGACGAAGATGAAGAGACGAAGTGGTAGGGAAACGAATCCTCATGAAGAAGAAAGAAAGGGAAAGAAGAAGAAGAGAAGGGCGCGTGTCGGTCGCGTGCCACTCGACGAGATATGACTCGGTGTCTGCGGCCCTTCTCCTCGTCCTTTAACCCCACCCTAAACTACAGTAGCGGATTTCACGCTTCCGTTCTAATCATCTGACACAGTTCCTTTCTTCGTTTTCCCTTTTTTTTCTTTTAGGGGTAGATAGGATGGCACGGGGGTAAGTTTTTTTGTCCCTTTTACCTTAGATTAAATATATTTTTTTTTTATCTCGTGTTCATTGGGTTCGAACGTGTAAAAGAACAAAATAATATCACGTGATTGAAATAATTAAATAATAAAATGAGATAATTTGTGTATTATCTTTAAAATCGTTCTACATATTGTTTTTTGTTTCAACCAATAATAAAATTGGGCTCGTTAATATATAATAAATATAACATATATATGTTTTAATTTTAGGTTAGAATAAATGTTATTATTGAAGTATAATATTTCTAATTAATTAAATTCAATTTAAATGCAATTAATGTTTAATTTTATGATTGAAATTAATTAAATTATAAATTGAAGATGATAATAATAAATATTAAATGTATAAAATAATTAAATATAATTTTTTGGTAAGTAAAATGTGTCATTCACCGTAGGGGGGGGGCGAAGTACCTCTTGAATCCATCACTGTACCCTTCAGGACCACGACCTTAGAGGGCCCCCTCATCGTCTCGTCTACTTCCTCTTCCTCCGCCCTCTCATTTTTTCATCTTCTCCTTGAAACCGTCTGGACTATGGCAATGGAAGAAAGAAACCACCCTGAGTGAGGTTATATCCAGGGTGGCAATGAGTATGTGTGTTGGTTTTTAAATGTGTACGAGGATTTTTAATATGAGACAATAAGATCAACCGTAGAAAAAGTGACAGATACGTCAGATTTTATCCCCTTTTTCTTCTCTTTTTTATCTAACGATCCCTGAGATTATCTGATTTGAGATAATCCGTTGAAAATGTGTGAACCTTCATGTTGTTTCATTCATCTTTTTATTTATTCTTAATCTTAGATCAATTTTTATCATTTATTTATTTATTTTACTTCCCAATTCCCAATGATTCTTTTTTCTTTTAAAAATATTGTCAATGTAATAAGATCGTTCAGATAAATGTTGAGATTATCTTTTTCTATGAAGATTTCCAACGAATCGATTACATAACCTTAAAAAATGATGGTTAGTACAGGAAAAAAAATTATTTCACACTTTAAAAAAGTGAATCATCATTTAAATGATCACATACACATACAATACACACACACATTTACATTTTTCATTAATATTATTATTAATTGGTATTAAAAACTCGAAAATTCATTGCAACAAATACTAAATCCCGCCATGTGCATTTTTCACTAAAAAATTTATCAATATTTCTAATTAAATAAGAAGAAAAGAAAAAACAAACAAAAATTAATTAAGTATAGTTTAACGATTTAAATAATTAATTTATGACAGTTCTCGTTTTGTTCATTGACAAATGTCTAACAAGAAGAAGCAAAAAAAAAAGGAAATCAAAAAGGAAGGAAGGAAGGAAGGAAGGAAGGGCCCTGTAGTCCTCTCTATCTTTGAGTCGTTTCGATCGAGATTTGCAGACGATTCGGTCCAGTCCGGACCGGGTCCGGTCCGGTCCGGGTCCGGGTCTCGAGTGTAGAATTTCTTCGTGAAATTTTTAGTGAATGAACCCCCTCGTGACTCGCGCTTTTGAATGGAAACCGACGACGGGCCAGTTTTTTACGAAAACACACAGGATGCCACAGGATGCGGGTGCGCGGCTGACAGAGAAACATAATGAAAGATAGAATGAGAAAGAGAAAGACAGATAGATCAGAAAGAAAGAAAGAAATAAATAAAAACGGGGAGATCCCTTCTTTACTTTTATCGTATTTGTTTTTTTATTTTGTTGTTTTTTTAAATCGTTTCTCTGATCCTGGTGGTGTGGTTATGGTAGTGGTGGTGGTGGTGGTGAATGAAAGAAAAAGTGAGATAGAAGATAGCCAGCTGATCGCTTTATGCCTTTCAAAAGGTTTCGCAAAATGCGAGCACGTGCTCTCTCTTGGTGTGCGTAAAAACCTTTTTAAGGTTTTGCATGGGTTAGTTTGCCACCTGCGAAGCCGGATCGTTTCTTATTCCAATTATTTTTTTTTTCTCAAAAATTTCCTGACATTTTTCTAGTATTTGTAATATTTTTTAAAAATTATTTTTAAACAAATTTTCAATTATTATTTTTTATTTAATAATTATTGGATTGGCAAGTACGTGATTGCGAATTTTGTCGATAGGTGGCCTTTTAAACTCACCAATGACACTTAACTTGATAATGAACCTTAGTTACCAACCCAATATAATTGAATTAATTATATTATAATAAAAAAATAACAATAATTATTATTATAATAAAAAAAAAATGATGGATATATCAAAATTCATGATATAAATCATTTCTTTCTTTGTATTGGACATGATTGTTAGAAAAAGTATAGTAGTGTTGGTGAGGGGATAGTAAAGGGCAAGTGGCTGTACGACGAGACATAAAAAAAGTAATGTAAAGGGTGGTGGTGGTGTGCCATAGTGGTGTGGGAGGGAGTAGGGATTCAAGGGTCCGAAACAGGCTGCTGCTGCTGCTCGTTGTCTCTCCGGAAGGAACTGTCTCCCTTTATCCCTAAAGACATTCCTTGCCAACACGAGCCAACGTACCCTAAGACGGTGTTTCTTCCATTTTTATGAACCACATATATTCATACATTCATACATGCACACACACATTACTCCCCCTTTTCTCTCCTGTTAACCTTTTTCACCCTAACCTAAATTAAGAATTGGTTTGTTCATAATTTCATTTATTTTTTTTTTTTTTTTTAATAATTTCATAGATAAATTTTGATTCATTTATATTATTTTGATAAAAATGATTCATTGAGTAAATAAAAAATTGTGTATGGAAAAGAATAAATTGATAATACAATTGTAATTTAATTTGAGGTTAAGTTTGTTTGAGAGTTTGAAACAGGAAATACTATTGTCTATGTTTCTAAATGATTCATCACAGTGTTGGTAAATTGGAAATAGTAGGAAATCGGTTTTATCTAGCTAGCTAGTGTCATTGCACTCTCTTACTAAAACCCTAGCCGCGAAAGTACACGTAAACGGCTGAAAATTTGTGCTGGCACGCGACCAAAATTTCTCCCTTTTTCTTCGTCTTTCATCTTCCAGAAAACCGAAAGAGAAAATAAGAGA